CTGTGAATAGAGAGATCAGCATGTCTTCACATTTAGAGGGATTGAGAGTCAGGTTATGCTCAACGGATCACTCAGCGAGGTTAGTAAGGAGGGTAGGGGTGACAGATGCATCAGGGTGGGCGATTCCGACCGCAACATCGTCCGCATATTTAATGAGCAGGGAATTTTGTAAAGTAGGTATGGATGAAATATAAGTGGAAAAGAAAAACGAGATACAACGGCACCCTGTAATGCGCCTAATGTAGAAATTGTAGAAGAGGAGGAACGACCAAGGTAACGTGTGAACTGTGATCGATTTGTGAAATAGTTAGTGAGTACTGCAGTAATGGTTTGCGATATTCCGTTTGAAGACAAAATATTTAACAGCATAGACCTGTCAACACAATTGAAGGCGTCACTGTAATCCAAGAAACAAATCCTGACAGCTTTCTTGTTCCCATCAAGTGCTGACAGAATGTAGTGAACCAGAGAAGCTAGGGCATCACGTGTGGAGCGAGTGCGACAGTAGGCAAATTGGGTTTGGTCCTGCACTTTCAGCTGAGATGACATTCCTTGAAGGAGTAACTTCTCAAAAAGCTTCAACACAACAGACGTGCATGCAATGGGACGGAATTTTGAGGTGCCTGTTTTAGGCACTGGAATGATGGAGGTAGCTTTCCAACAAGCCGGTATAATTCCGTTTTCCAAGCACTGGTTAAACAGAGCTGTGAGCACTGGCGAAAGTGTGTGAGCGCACTCATTAAGGATGGTAGCCTCCAACCTATTGGGACCGGGTGATTTATTGAGTTTGAATGTCAGCAACTCTTTCAGAACATCCTGTTTTTGAATAGTAAAGGGTTCTTCATTGCTGGAGTCGATGTTTGCGCTGGTGATGACTAGCCTCGTCCCCATGTTGATGGCACTTTGTTGAATGTTCTATTTAGTTCCTCAACGTCTATTGCTGTTCGAGACACGATTGAGGATTGAACACTCAGTTGCATAATGGAGTCCCAGGTTTCCCCGCAGGTTTTGTTGTGTAGAAGTGTACGAGTGTAAATGCCATTCAGTCGATGAAGCTCATCTCTGATAGCAGGAGATAAGAGTTTCACTCTTTGAAATTACTGGAAACATGAACAAAGTGATCGGACAATGGGGAAAACAAATCGGCAAAGAAAGTTCCTTTCTGGTAAGCAAAGTCATTTTTCACATAATGCAAAAAATCCTATTATCTAGAGTGTGAACAAATCGATGAATAGCTTACATCAGATAGTGTTTGAACCAATGCGATCAGGGCTTTGGAAACGGTGAACTCAATTGAAACATGCTCTCTTCGGGACTGAGCAATCAAAGATGTGATAAACTGGATATCGTCTGCATTATCTGCTCGAGAAGACATTAGCACGGATCATTTGATCCAATCGGATAACCCTACCTAACGGTTGCGTCCAAGCGAAATGCAATGAGTTGGCCAAGACGGGTGTTAGCGTGTCCGCAAACTGCACATTCGGATGGTTGGCATCAATCAGGCAATGAAGTAATCGAAACGCAGGTGATGCACGTTCTCCATAGATCTGGCTGTACAACACAGAAGACAAAACCACTGATTATACTGGTTTTAGAAACGAGTTTGAACAAGTAACAGAACAGACAAAACAGTTTGAACAGCATAAATTTACCTGAGCACTAAATCTTCCCAAATCACCGGGATAAGTAGCTCCAAACCAGGAGTAATTAGTGGCTATGATGACCGTGATCTGTACGAAATCGGATCAAACTTACACCTGACTGGTAATAGGCTGTTGTCCACTGAGAGATTGCGTCAAACAGATTGAGTTTCTCTTCCAATGTAGCTAAAGAAAAAAGAACATAAATGTAGTAGTAGTGGTGGTGGTGGTGGAAGCCATCATCACACGCTTTAATGCACCATCATGGTGGGTGAATTTTGAACAATAAACCACCAATTACCAATATCTATATGATTTTGTTCATCAATGGTAATGATAATGTGAACTGTGGAAAACAACCTTAGACCGCCCTGCTAAATATCCATCGCTTTCTAGCAGTAGATCATGGCCAATGATTCCTATTGGGTGTGTACGTACCTCATGGGTCCTGGACACCACTCTGAATACCACGCTAATTATATTTGAGTCACTACTCCGAATTACAAGACTCCGGTTGCCAGGTACTACAACTGAACAGCAGGTTTTCCTGAACTTGGGACTCATTCCCTTGATTCCAATAGGGTAATACGGTGAGTAATTACTTCGTTGCAAACAAGGAACCTTCATTTCACTTCTATTAGATTCTATCAAATATAACTGGATAGGTGAATGTCAGATATGATTGCAAAACAGACATGGGTATAGACTACGGCTAGGAATAAAGATTTGGTTAATTCAAACGAAACCAGATCTAAACCGGACCCAAACGTTCTATGCGTGATTGGCATGAACACAAAATAATCCCAATAGCCCGAGAGCGATCTTAAATTAGTTTGTCTTTGTCGCTTTTGCAAAGCCATTGATATTTTTTCCTGTGAATCGATCGCGTCTAGAAAGGTGTTTAATCCCAGCATACAGTCCAAAAATTATCCAAACTACCAGACAGCAGGTCGGTATGTATGTCATTTTATAATGAAAGTAAGCAAATGGTCCACAAATGTTTCAACACAACCTATGGTGATACAAGACAGATGTATTGCGCAGAACAAGAAATCCGATATTTTTACCGGCCATCGAACACATACGGTGAGGGTCAGATAGTCAATTATCTGGCAGTGCGAGACATCCGACCAGCAACTGATGGTATTCCACAAAACAATGCCATGTGATATGGTTAACATTCACAAACAAGATTTCAGGGTCGGCCAAAAAAACACCAATGGTTATATAATATTCTGAACTGATGCGATCATCTGGTGCCTTAGTGACAGACATAAAGTGGCAGAACATAAAGTTCAACTCTCACCGTGTTTATAAGTAGTGACTACACGTATCCAGAAAGCACGTGTTTTGATCTCTTCAGCTGACAGGTGTCCAGGATTTTCAATGACCTGCATAAGATAAACATCCTGTAATCTTGGGCCGGAAGTAGCCGCAAACAAACCTGCTTCAACGTGTCCAGCACATCGAACGACTGTTCCATCGGGAACGATAACAATTGGGGAATAGGGCGCGCTTGAGAGAGAGAGAGAGAGAGAGTTTCAGTTCGTATGGAATAGCACAAATTGACTTCAAGCGTGGGGGAAGCATGTCCGATTTGGAGTTCAGAACAATGAGATGACATTGGGCAGCAGTTATCAAATGAACAAACCGTGAACTGTGTTTCGACTCTATGATGATGATGATTTTATCATAAATGGAAAGAAAACCCATTTTAGCATCATAGAGAGACCGTCTGTAGACGGGAAAATTTGGCATATCATCATAGGGAAGATAAAATTGTACGGGGTACACGTGACAAATTTTTGGTGTCAAACCATATGAAAATCACTGCTATCTGTCCAATTAGAATACAATCATCAGATTGCGTTCCCGAAATCGATTTTACGTAGTCATTATCTCAGGTATGGAAAATGATCTTTTTCAAGAAGATTACACGTTAGTAGCGTTCGACAATATCGTTCATTTACTCCTCCCGCCCGCCCCCTCCTTTCCCCCACAGGTTGTAATATTTTAGTTAGCTTGATTAAGAACACACACACACACACACAATGTAGGCGAACATATGTGTTTTCAATGTTACAACTGTCAGGATGGGAGAGGCGATCATTCACGGGACCACCATAAAAAACATACCACGGGGTAAGTCAGGCGGTGATGGCGAGTGGTAATTTGGTGACCTCTACCACCAGGCAAAAATCATCACCACCGCCACCTGTTTATTACGCCGAAATAATATTTCTCCCCAATAAAATTAAACCCACAAAGATCAAGAAAAACATATCGAAACAAACAGTGAGTCAGTTCAAAATGAACAGTTATGGAGTAAATAAGTTCCTGAATCATAATCAAATGTGAGTTCACACATTCTGTATTTTGATGTTCTGGTTGTCACCCTCCACAGGCAAAACATCATTGGGAACGCTTTCGGAATTCGGTCTATTCATCAAAGTCCGTTTTTCACGCACTCATCACTGATAGGCTTCGGAAGCGTCCGTCATACAGCTGTGTTTGCCCGGTTTGACAGGAATCATCGGCAATGCATACTCACCGGATTCGAACCCGGTCCGAGGCATTTGTTAATCCAACGCGCTAACTACGGCTCTCAACAAGTCGCTACCTGATATAGCACGCATGGTTCACTGATGCGATTATGCCGGTTGATGAACAAATCACATCCTCCAAACCGTTCCATCTAAACACACTCCTGTTCATGAGATGCGCATATCCCGCTCAGTCGTAATGGGACACTTGCAAATAGTCTTGCATTAGTCAGTCAATCAACATTGCGTAATGTTCGGCACTTTTACGGACCTGGTCTGTGAACAACTATTGAAGCAGATCAAATATCGCGTTCAGACCACGGAGGAAATAGCGGGAATTCGCATAAACAACAAACCTTGGCGTGTCCACAAAGACAATTTGAGCGGTCATTGCATCACCCATTCTAACTATCATCATATTCAAGTTGAAAAATAAACGAAAAAATGGAGATAATATCTACTTTTTAAGTTTCACTCATTTTTACCCTCGTTGTATCAACTCAAATGTGTTAGCCAGAGAAGAGGAATCATTTATTGGACCGCTCCCAGGCCTACTTGTACCTTTCTGAAACTTCAAAATGAGCTGATGGAGCGAGTCTACTCGAATAGAACTGTCTCCAGTATCCTCCGCGATTTGACATTCATTGAGACTCACTCATATAGATCGCGTTAGGCTCTCTGAATAAGGACCTCCGTGTCGTTATATCCGGTGGTCAGAGACATTGAGTGACATGACTGAGTGTCGTAAACAGTGGATTTCGTGCATCTTCTCAATCTGTATACAACCTAAGTCCTTCGACTCTATTTTCAACTCTCCTGTTACTTCGTCCAAATGGACAACCAAAACCGGCGCACAAAGGTGGATGGTTATTGGTTGTACAAACGGAAACTGACATTTGTCCTCTCGGAAAACGGAGAAATTCATGATTCAAACGGCTTGAAAACTCATTAACAGTATGTCTGAATGATGTCTCTCAATCCTAAGAACTAAAGACTACTGCGTTTGGTCACTAAGTGACTTAATCATTCGGTAAGAGGATGCATCCATTATGCGCACTATCATAAGACATCGATGTAGCTCTGCGGATATATTACTGTGTGACACGCGTGAATGAATCCAGATTGTTCATTCTATGATTTGCGCGAGTATGGAAGACTGCCCTGTCAACCAGGCTAATGCGAGTGAGGAACTTTACAACCAGAACTTGTGGTTTACAGCAGTCCCTCAAGCGAGACCGTGTGAAAACCGTCATCCACTACCGGTCGATGCTTGGGTCGTCGATACATATGACGTTTGGATGGGGTCAAAGGCCGAAGTTGCTGAATACACCCAAATTCCAAGACAAATCCGTCAAAATGCTACAGCCAAGGCTATAAATCCACAAGGCGGTGTTTGGACGAGGATATTTATTTATTACTCATAACTGTCAGGGTATGGGTAGATTAACATTCATACGACAAAATGTCTCATTTAGAACGAGGCTTCAGAAATCTGAAAGACTCAACACGGTCGGGGTGGGTGTCTGAGCTTGTGGCTGTTCACCCCTCTTTTACACCTGGCCCAATGCTCCTGTACGACCAAACAACTCAAACAGCCTCTGTTGGAGAAGCCCTACTCACTGCCTTCCCGTGGCGGTGTTCCCCAACAAAGTGAGAGGACGAAAATCCGATATCCTGGGCTATATCCGGGTTGGTAGACCACCGGTAGTTCACCTAGGGGAGTTGGCTAAAAACCCTGATTCCAAACCAACCAAGAGAAGGCGTACGAACCACACACACACCCTGCCGGTTGTGGCAGCGATCACCGGCTCAATTTGGTATCGAGGTGTATTGGGCATCTTGGACGTTTGACCCCGTCCAACGGGTGTATGATCCCATGAACTGAACATCGCCCCCCCCCCCCC